CCCCCCTTCCGTTTCCTGGTGCGTCGCCAGTCTGCTCTAATTTCTTTGGCTAAGAGATGCTTGAAAAACCCATAGGCATATTTATCTGTCCACTCCCCTTTCTCAAACCTTTTCACATTCCTGTCTTTCCAAACAAGCCACATCATTACCGCTCTTGTAACCTGCACCATGTACCCCCAACCCTCTTTGCCTGCATAACCTTCTGGCAGCGCCCCTAAGAGGACCCACCTCTCGTCGCAGAATTTATTTCTGTCTGTGATCTCTTTCCAATTGAAGAGCCACCATTTCCACCATCTCTGCAATTTAGGGCAGTCCCACCATAGATGCTTTACTTCTTCATAAATCCACTCACACCTCACACATTTTGCATCGATATTGTTCATCCCCCTGTTTTTTAGCCACACTGCAGTTGGTACCACCAAGTGAGACTGCAGCCACAGGAGGGAGGCTAGCTTTTGAGATGGTATTCTCTTAAGCTGGTCCCAGAGCCTTTTAAGCTCATCCTCCTTTGGTGGTGGGACATTATGGACTGTTCTTTCCCATCTGTCTGTCAATTTTTTTTTCAGGGTCTTTCCCAATTTTTCTAGCGCAACTATATTCTGACTTCCTCCTGTCCACCCCCAAACTTCTGAATCTATCCTTAGTTTCTGATACAATCTACCTCCCCCTACAATCATAGGTACCTGATCCTTCTCTTCCTCCATTCTTACTTTGCATTATGCCAAGCCGCCAAACCCATATCTCTCCACCGTACTGAAAGAGATAAGCTTTGAGGACTCCTGACTTTCCTTCTCAATGCTGGAATGGGCTGAATAACGTAGGACTGGAATGTATGCGCCTCAATTGCTTGACGCGAGGATCCCTCCAGAATGTTGGAATGGGCTGAATAACGTAGGGCTAGAATGTGTGCGCCTCAATTTATTTGTCACAAATGAGGTATCAGTTCTGTCCCAAATCGCGGTAGATCCAGGGATACCGGCTAACTTTTTGACAGACTTGGACAGATTGTTACCGAGATCACGCAATTTAACGTCTCAGTATTTTGTAAATACCCTTTGAGGCAGTTGGGACGAAACCAGGCTGTTGAAGACCGATAGTGTGGGAGACAACCATCAGGCGAGCGCGTCAGCTCCGATAGTGGTCTAGAAATGAGCAAGTGTCGCCTCGTTACTTGAAATGTGCAGAGGTTGGGAGATACGGGAGGTAGAAGTAAGGGAACTAGGATTAAGTCATGGGTACATGCGATGAAGGCGGGTATCCTGTTCATACAGGAAACGAAACTCCCGAAAAGGAAGTTGACAGAGCTTAAAGATTGGTGGACTGACGCACAGTTATGGTCACCGGCAAGAGGAAGGAAAGACGGTGTTGCCATCTTAGTTCACAGTAGAATCGATACACAACTTATCGATTTTGATTCTGACTTATGGGGAAGATGGTGTTGGATTAAGTTGGGGATAGGAGAGGAGGACTGGACATTGGTCTTTGTGTACGCTCCTAATGACCCGCAAGAAAGGCTAGTTTTCTACGAAACTTTGCCATTGGTACTGCCAAAGACAGATAAGTTGGTCGTTGCAGGGGATTGGAATCAGGTAATCGCCCCGGGAATCGATTCAAAGAACGATGACACGCCGAAAAAAAATTGTAGCTACTTGATTAGATGGATGGAGGCTTGGGGATTAAAGGACATTTTTCGAATCAGAAATCCGAACAGCGATGGGTTCACTTGGTTTGGCAATCCGGTTACGGCCCCGTTTACAAAGAGAAGATTTAACTTTCTTTTGGTTCAGAAGAAGCAAGTAGGCTAACAGTCAAGGTAGACGAACAGAAAGGTCTGTTCTCAGATCATAAGCTAGTGATTTTGGATATAGCAATGGGGCAAAAAGTGGAGCGAGGCCCAGGGCTGTTCAGGTTAAACGCTTCAAACTTGGAGGATGAAGGTTGAAAGATGTGGGTAGAGGAGTTTTGGACCTCCTGGAAAAGTGCTCGAGTCCACTTTGACTCAACAACAGAATGGATAGATGGGGGCCTTCAGATAATCTCCCACAAATTCGATATTTTCTCCGAAATTTGTGTGTTTCAGAAGAACAGCGAGGAGAGAGCTTTCTGGAAGAGAGTAGAAGAGGCGGAAAGGAACATGGGCAGCCATCCAGTCTTAGAGGCAGTCTGGGCAGAAGAAATGGCGGAAAGAGTAAAAGCATGAGAACAATATCAAGATAATAAGGAAAGGAGATGGAGACAGATCCTAGAAGTGAAGGGGATTATAACTTCAGACAAAATTACCAAGTAGTCCTTCAAGAAACTCCTCCCTCACAGAAAACAGGTAATAATGTCAGAATTGGTACACCCGCTGCTTCCATACATGCCACGAGCAAACTCACTGGACTCAATGTGTGACTTATTTTCAAGACATCCTAACCACCAAACGTTCAGACGAGACTATAGACACAGACATATCTATGCAACCAAATCTCTGGAGCAACCTGCAGGCTATCCTCGCGCCGCATCAAAGACAGAGTTTGGACAGCCCAATCACATATGAGGAGCTACAACAGACTGTTAAAGCAATTGTCAAAGGTAAAGCACCCGGGGATGATGGTCACCTGGTGGAATTTTACGCAACATGTTGGACCACCTTGGAAGATGATTTGGTACAAATGTACAACGAAATTTTAGTGAGAGGTAAGCTAGGCCTGACAATGACTAGAGGTATTATTACCTTGATGTTCAAGAAAGGAGATAAGTCGTTGGTTAAAAACTGGCGACCTATATCCCTTTTAAATGTCAACTACAAGATCCTGGCTAAGCCGTTGGCCAGCAGGTTAGCGGTAGTCCTTCCATATTTGGTAGGTAAGGAACAAGGTGCATTTGTGAGAGGGAGGTCTATCTTTGAGAACATTTTGACTGCAATTCAAGTACTGGAGGAGGTGGCGGCAGAGGACAGAGAAGTGGCAGTCCTACTATTAAACCTAGAGAAAGCGTACGATAGAGTAAATTGGGCATTCATGATGACTACACTAAAACAGATGGGATTCGGAGAGTACTTCTGCAGGTGGATCGAAGTCCTTTATACATACTCTACCGCTGCGGTAATGTCCTATCCCGCCGCTACTCTTCGTGCTGCAAATGGAGGTCTTGATCAATAGTATCAAAAGAAACACGACAATCAAAGGTTTGAAGATGTCGCCAGAAAAAGAATGCCGAGTCAAAGCTCTGGCAGACGACCTCTTTGCGGTCTGCGAAAACAGGAAAGATTCCCTGGAAGCGCTCAAGAGATGCCTGACCATCTATGCAGAGTTCTCTGAAGCTGCAGTGAACTGGAAAAAATCTACCTTTTTCCTCCCAGCATCAAAACAACTTCAGGTAAACTGGGGAATGAACAGAGTAGCAGCAGGCAAAGCTGAACGCTTTTTAATGGTAATGATCGCATTAGAGGACTGCTCATCATCTCAAGGTATAGTCCTACAGGAAAAGGTGAAAAACAGGATCAAGGAGTGGGGAGAAGCTAGACATCTGTCCTTGATTGGCAGAGCTCTAGCTATCAATATCTCGGCCTTAGCTCTACTGTGGTTTGTGGCCAGAACAAGGAACATCCCCTCAGAGATGCTGAAGGAGATCAAACGTGCAGCAAGAGTCTTCCTATAGAAGCCATATGCAAAACCAGGTGAGGGATGCTTGGCAAAGGTAGCATGTGAGGTACTGTCTTCCAAGGGGAAAGGGGGGGCTGGGTCTTACAGACCCACGGACACAGAACCAGATTCTTCTATGCCAGTGGATCTCTAGAGTAACTGAAACGGACCAGGACGCGGATTGGGTCCTTCTTCTTGCAGAAGGAATCCTAATGAGAGAATGGGGACTGGACCGAAGAGAGGACGTCTGGAACGTGATTATGATGGAAGCCTTCTCGGGGAAAAAGATTAAATCTCGATTGTGGAGGGAGATCCTACAAGCGTGGAAATCACTGAAGCCAAATCTCAGAACGCCGCCAAACTCCAAACAGCAAATCCTAACACAACACCTCTTTGACAATCCGAAAGTCAGAGGACAGGAAGGAGCTCCCCTCAAGGCAAAGAAAGGGCAAGGACATTTTGGGTACAAATGGGTCCAGAGAGGGGTTGCAACAGTACGAGATATATGGGACGAAGAAACCAATCAATGGCAGAGCGCAGCAGATCTGAAGAGAAAGTTGGGACAGTTACCAGACCAGGAAGATAGACTTCGGTCTATAAAAGAAGCTATGCCGTAGGAATGGAAGCTTCTTTTGGGCCCTAGTGGGCTTAACCCACCAAGCACCTGGTTTCATGCGGAAGATCCGGAAAACCAGGAAAACCAACGCTTCTATAGGTTGGAAAAATAGGACAAAGTGCGGCAAGGAAAGTGCATAATGCAGGTCTTCGAGAAGGAAAGTCAGGAGTCCTCAAAGCTTATCTCCTTCAGTAAGGTGGAGAGATTTTCAACCCATGTGTGACCGGGCGGGGTATGATTTCAGCAAACATGGGAAAAAAAATTCAGCAGATTTTGCTATACTGCCACCGCTGTGTGAGTACGCCCTAATTTAGCAAATTAAACTGAACTGACAGCATTGCCTAACCTATCGTTGTACCATTCATTGGCCTACCCTGGCCTGACAACTAAGCTGTCACCACTTTTCTCGATTTATGCGTGTCATCCTTGTGCAGGGGCCATGCTAATCTTCCCTGTATCCCTCGGCTCGACGACGGGAGGACGGAACTCTCGGTAAACCCGAGGTGACGTCAACCCTAATCGCGTGCTCGTCTTGACGGCGAGTCAAGCGACCGCCGAGACTGGCTGCAAGCAGGGCAAAAAATTAGCGCTGCTCCCAACCGAGAGCGCAAGTTCGGAGCGCTCCTGCGCCAGCCCCTCGCGCCCCCTTTTTTTTTTTTTCTTTTTTTCACAGGGCCAAAAACCCGATGGTGTTCACACAGTCACACGTAATATGTTAGAAGGTCTAGAAGGTCGTGTCTGCATACTCGGGCGTGCAACCTTTTGTTGGGCGAGCGCCATGGTGCGCCCGCCTTTGACGTGAAGTTCGTGAGGACGTGAGTAAGGGAGACTAGGTAGTACGAAGAGGCTAATTATGTGGAGAAGAAGTCGTAGCGAGGGTCTTGCCGAGTACAGAGGGATGGCAGACCAAGGAAATGTTGCAGACCCAGACAACGAGAGAGTGGCCGCTCCTCCAGCAAGGACGGAGCTCCCGATGTCAGAGAAAGACCGTATGAAACTGTTAATTGCTAAATGCTATGAAGACGGGATTATTCCAGAGAAATTCTGCCACGGGGAATGGATTGTGGAAGGGGGAGTTCGCCTGTTCAAGGTAAACCCTAGGTTGGACACCTTGGTCACCGCCTGGTTAAAGGAAAGAACTGTTACCGTAATTTTCCAAGGAGAGGCTAGGGACTTGCCGCTTCGGATTAAAGAAGACTTGATAAGGGCATATGAGAACGGCTGGTATAGAGAGAGGGTGTTTGACCATTCAATCAAGAGGGGAAGGATTCACGGCGAAGGTCCAAATGTCCTTTCATACGTAGCGAAGGCAAGTGAAGTGGCGAGGTGGATGATTGTTAAAGGAGAAGATAAGGTAGTAATTCGAGGGATTGAGTATGCCATGGTTTTCAAACCATGGATGACGAAAGCGGAGTTGGAAGAGAGGCGAAGAGCAGAGGATGCAACCAAGTTTTGGGTGATGGCCTTGAGAGTGCCGCTCCGAGTGATGTTTCATGTGGAAAGTATGGTGGAATCCTAGATGGGGAGGATTGTAAACTCTCTCCCTCCAGAACCGGACAAGTCAAGACCCAAGCTCATGAATTTGAAATTCGAGTTGGTCCGTGAGGCAGAAGACAGATTCGAGGAAGAACTTCCCATCAAGTTGGATGATGGCGAAATTTATTATATTAAATTCGCCTGCAAGAACACTCCGTGGTGTGATACATGTTGTTGGTATTTTCACACAGCGACGGAGGGTTGTCCAAGGATGGGAGAAAGGCAGCCGGAGCAGCAAGCAGAACCAAAGGGGAGAAGAGGTAATGATACAAGAAGGCGTGGAGGAGAATTGAATGATGAATGGAACAGGAACTTCCGGGAGGCAGCTAGGGATGTGCAACCAAGGAGAGCAACGTCCTCAGATGTAGGTTCATCATCACATGAAATTCGTCGGACCGGTGGAATGCAACCTTCGCCTACAGCAGGGCCAGCCAATTACATTCAGGGGGGCACTTCCAACATCCAACAGAACAGTTTGGTTATCCCGCCTCAAGGGCGTCAATTTCAATTGCATCAATCACATCTGCAGGGGGCCTGGTTTCAGCATCAACAGGATCCGTATTCAATGACCGGTTTCCAACATCCGGAGGCTTATCAGATGCAAGCCTTACTCCAGCTGTTGCAGCAAGATCCAAGACTCAGTTCTGTGCTGCCGATGGGAGGAGGACCTCCCCCGATGTCCATGCATCCTCTGTCGACGAATCTTTTTGGTGGAGGCCAAGGTGCAAGGGCTCCAGCTGGTTCGTATAGCGGCACTCATAATGTGTATCCGAGCGGCCAAGTTTCGGGAATTCAGAAATCCTTCGCCCCCTACCAGAGGCAAACTATTGCCCAGGAGGACAAAAGGTGTACCAAGAGGGAGGGCCCAGGAGTGGAATTGACGGAGTGAAGGAGATCCATCAAGTTCCATCAGGTGGAGAGCAGGGTTTCTTGGGGGGGTTTCAAGGTGCGAGCAGCAGCGGTGCATACCGGGCGTCACCAAGATATATTCCGGAGGGAGTAGACACTCATCAAGGAGGAACAGAGGGATATGAAGAACGATGGATAATGCCTCTTGTCTGCACTATGCAAGCACAGGAGATTCACATCATTGGCACGGTCAATAAAGAAGGAAAAATGGTGCTTCCAGCTCGGCAGACTGAAGGATTGGCAACCTTGGAAGTGATCATTCGCAGTGTAAGGGAACTCTTTGCCGACCGTTTCAATTTTTGAGTCTGCCCAGATGGACTGATGCCAAAACTCGACGTGGAGCTCACGGGAGGTAAAAGGATTCGTTACTCTATTCCACTCATCGATGCTCGCTTCGAGTCCGACCAATGGATTAACATCAGTAGGGTAGGGTTGACAAGTACTCCAATTAGCGCGTTTGCTGATCCCTCCCCTATTCTGTCGTCTCAGATTGTAGTGGATCCTGGTATTCCGGCTTTGGCTTTTGAGAATTTGAAGAATAAGATGCCTTCCTGGCAAAATTTTTCCTTGGAGTTGTTCGCAAAGAATCTGAGCAAACCATGGTCAGATGGCCCGAATGTCCCCAGCCAAATGGTAATTTCCCCAAACTGCATCCAACCAACAGGCGGTCCATCAGGGGCGAATGAATAAGTTGAAAATAGCGACATGGAATGTGCAGGGTCTGGGGGATGCGGGCGGAAGAGAGAAGGGTAAGAGGCTAAAATCGTGGATCCATGAGAAACACATTGACGTGGCTCTCTTGCAAGAGACGAAGCTGTCGGAGGGTAAGTTAAATAGCATGAGAGAGTGGTGGGATGACCCACAACTGTGGTCACCCGCTCGGGGATCAAGAGGAGGAGTGGCTATTCTTTTCCACAAAAGAATTGATGCCAGTTTGGTGGATTATGACTCGGACCTGTGGGGTAGATGGTGCTGGGTAAAGGTGTCAATAGAGGGCCAGGAATGGTGCTTTGCTTCAATTTACGCCCCGAATGAACAAAAGGAACGTCGTGAGATTGGAACGTGGTCTTGGAACCAAAGATTGACGCTGAATCGGATTGTGGTATTCACTCGGATCAGATGGCGCTCTTCCGGTGGATGGAAGCATGGTCATTAGAGGATGTTTTCAGAACGATGAACCCAGTGTCCCCGGGTTATACCTGGTTCGGGACGGCAAGTCCTGCAGCAGGAGTGAAAAGGCGCCTGGATTACTTCTTGGTCTCTGATCACCTGGCGAAGGCAGTTTTGTCCTCTCATGAGGAAACCGAGTCCCTATCTGATCACAAACCGGTGTTCATTGTAGTTCGCACATCAGAGGATTTGGCACGAGGTCCTGGATGCTTCAGACTCAACAAGTTGGTGTTAGAGGAGGAAGGAATAAAAGAATGGACGGAACTCTTCTTGGAGCAATGGAAGCAAGCAACGGAACTGTTCGATTCTAAGGCAGATTGGATGGACGCAGGTCTTCGCATCATTTCCCAGAGACTGGACACCTACTCAAGAATAGCAACGTATCTTAGAAACACTAAGGAAATGGATTGCAAGAAGAGGGTGGAGGAGGCAGAGAGAAGAATGGGCGAACATCCAATTTCGGATCATGTTTAGGCGGAGGAGAGGCAGGCAAGGCTTAAAGAATGGGATGACAACCAGGTGGACAAACAAAAGAGGTGAGAACGAATTTTGCAGGAGAAGGGTATTGTATCGGGAGATAGAATGTCGAAGGATACATTTAAGAATCTGCTGCTAGCAAGTAGGAGGGTCCAAGTAGGAGAACTGAAACATCCCTTGCGACCGGGAGCACCAATAGCAAGATCAAACGAGGATATTTGCGAGTACGCGGCAGCGTATTACAACAATATTTTTACTTCAAGGTGCCCACATCAGAACTTCGAGACAGATCTGTCATTGGAATCCCCATTCTGGGACCAGATTCCTAGTAGACTGTCACAGACAGTCATTCTAGATTTGGAGAAACCCGTGTCCACAGAGGAACTCACACAGACAATGAAACTGCTGGCTAGGGGCAAAGCCCCGGGGGATGATGGTCTTCCCATCGAATTCTTTGAAACCCATTGGGATATGCTAGTAGGAGATTTGGTGGAATTGTTTAATAATATCAGGGAAGGGGGGAAATTGGGCCGCACTATATCTAGAGGAATTATCACCCTGTTGTACAAGAAAGGCGATAGAGATGAGGTGCGGAACTATAGGCCTATCTCGCTGCTGAACGTTAGCTATAAGTTACTAGCGAAAACGTTAGCAGTTAGATTAGATAAATATCTTCCGAGTTTGGTAGGAGAGGAACAGGGGGCATTTGTTAAGGGTCGCTCAATCTTTGAAAATGTAGTGACAACTATTGAAGCACTTGAACTCATTGACAGGGACAACAACGATTTCTTAGTTTTAATGCTTGACCTGGAAAAAGCGTACGACAGGGTGAATTGGGCGTTTGTGATGACCACGCTGAAAGTGATGGGTTTTGAAGTAAGTTTCTGTCGTTGGGTGGTGGCTCTGTACGATAGTGCGACAGCGGCGGTTTGTGTAAATGGTTTCCTCTCAGGGGAGTTCTCCCTTTCGAGATCTTTACGGCAGGGGTGCCCTTTGGCCCCGCTACTCTTCGTGATTCAATTGGAGGTTTTGCTCAGTAACTTGAGAACTAACGCTTCATACAGAGGTTTGAGTCTTCCGAATGGAAAGGAGTGTAAGATCAAAGCGCTTGCAGATGATTTGTTTGCTGTCTCAACGAACATAGGGGACTCCCTGAAATCGTTGAAAGACTGCCTACTAATATATGCAGAACTTTCAGAAGCAGTTGTAAACTGGTCCAAATTCCTCTTTTTCCTCCCAGAGCAATTCAACAGTGCGGTGGAATGGGGAATGGAGCGGGTACCCGCTGGCAACGCAGAAAGATTTTTTGGGGTTCAGGTTGCCCTGGGGGATTGCTCTAAGGCACAAAATATAATCCTGACCCAGAAACTGACTAACAGAATCCATAGTTGGGGAAAGGCTAAACATCTGTCTTTAATGGGTAGAGCTCTGGCTCTGAAAACATCTGTGTTTGCCCTGCTAGGATATGTAGGGACTGTCAGGAAACTCTCGAGTACGTTGTTGAAGGCAATCAAGGATGTTTCTCGTCGTTTCTTGTGGAAACCCGACAACCAAGATAACCAAGGATATCTGCCAAAAGTGGCATGGGAAGTGGTCTGTAGACCTCAGGAGGAAGGGGGACTAGGGCTGTTGGACCCGGAAACCCAGAACTTAGCTCAGCTGAGTAAATAGGTGGGGAAGGTTGCCGAAAAAGGGGAGAAGGGCGATTGGGTGGCTATGGCTGAGATGCTGTTGGCGGAGGAATGGGGACTCAGCAGGGTATCGGACGTATGGGTGGCTATTTTTCATGACTGCTTTATCAACAAGCGCATAAAGTCGATTTTTTGGAGAGATGTTATCTCTGCCTGGAAGAAGGTGAAACCCTCGTTGAGTAAACCTCCAATAACAAAAGCGGAAGTCAAAAGACAACATCTTTTTGATAATCCGTATATCAGAGGCAGGGATGACCTTCCCATCTCAGCAGACGCCAAGACAGGGAACTACGGAATGAGATGGATCCAACGGGGGGTGGCTACGGTGGCGGACTTGTGGGATTATCTGAGTAACTCCTCGGTGTCAGACGACCAGCTCAAGGAAAAATTGGGCCAACTGCCATATCTGGAAGCCAGATTGCTGGAACTCAGGAACAGTATCCCAGTCGACTGGGTAACACTCATGGGTCCAGAGGGGGTTAAACCGGTCGACTCGTGGTACGCAGAAAAGCAATGTGGGACCACGATTTTCTACAGGTTACAGGAATGGTTTGATGATGGATTGGGCAAATGCTGGTTGGAAGAGTACAGGTCATTGCTGCCGAATCTTCCGGAGATAGTTCTCTCAGGGATCAGTTGGAGATATGGTCTGAATGGACTGGAGGAGATTAGGGTACATCGTCTTCCACCAAGGTCCCTGGGAGAACCGGACGTGCTTGTGGTCGTGGCTGAGGCAGTCTCATTACGGGAGATGAAGATAGACCCGGACACATGGGGCTGGCAACTAGACAACGAACCTATCTGGGGCTTGAGTAACTTATCTTCCACTCTGGTCCTCACAATTCGCAGCAAGCTGCCACATGCCAGCGAGATCATTGCAGACAGGTGGCAGCGGCAATGTCCGGAGATACAGCCTCCTTCGGATAAGGAGCTCTCCGCGTTGTGGTCACAACTGAAGGTGGTTCCGTCTCAGAAGTTGGCTTCCTTGGCTTGGCTCCAATCTCATCTGGCTGTCCCCACGGCCAAATGGCTCCAGGATCGTCAGATAGAGGTAAACACTCAATGTGACAGATGCTTAAACGCCACAGAGTCAATGCAACATCTGTGGTGGGAATGTGAGTTATCAGAAAAATTGTGGAGGTGGTGGGAGAGACATTGGGTGGCCTTTTCTGGCAAAAATCATCTGACTGGAAAGAGATGGGTCCTGCAGGGAGCTCTGCCCCCTGACGTGACAGGTAGGAAAGGATGGGAGTACATTGCACAGGTGGCTCGGTTGGCAATGCTATGGACCATTTGGCTGGATAGGAATGGAAGGCGCTTTCAGGAGAAACCGATTCAGGAGATACAGGCAGAGAGACTTTTCAGAAGCCTGGTGGGGTCCCAAATCAGAGCCGATTGGGTCCGTAGAGTTCAGCGAGGGGACAGGCAGACAGGATTGAAATGGTTCAGGGAAACCTGGGCATTGGAAGGTCGGCTGGCCAAGATCTCTCCACAGGGTAGGCTGGAGATCACAAAGTGGCTTGGGTGAGCAAGTTCTTGTTTAGCTAGGAGTAGGTTCCCGGTTACCTTTTGGAATTGTGTGGAGTTTCGGTCATGTGAATGTTTTTTTTATGAACCAGGGCACTCGGTTCCGGTCGGCGGCCACAGTAGGCGGCAAGGGGTAGGGAAGGGAGGAGAGTGCCACTCTTGGATAAGGGAACAAGGATGTTCCTCCCGGCCGTTATTGGGCCGAGGTCAGGCCGGTTGGTAGGCCTGTGTAATAGTATGGACGGGTGTTAGTGGAACACGGGGAGTCTAGAGTAGGTTTAGGTATAGTTAGTCTACTGGGGCGGACTACGGTGGTTGAGCTAGGAATTAAGGTAGAAGCAGAATTTCTTGATGTCTGAGTCATGATTGAAAGATTGTCCATAAGCAAAACCGGCTGATGCTGCCGGGATAACTCCGGGTTGAATTGTGAGGTCCCCGGCCTCCTGAAGTGAATTTTTTGGAATATAAAGTGAATTCAAAAAAAAAAAAAAAAAAAATTCTTCCCTGTATCGTTCCAATTTTAACGGATGTGCCGATGGACAGCTGTCACCCCTTGTGTTTTCTTTTTTCTCCAAAGAAAAGCTCTTGGCGCGAGAACGGGTACGGTAGTTCGTGTGAACTGGTGGTGGCATCACGGCCCTCAACTCGCACCTCGCCTAGGTTGATATCCGAGAGAAGAATCCCTTCCTCACAGCATATTCTCGCAAGCTCCCGAAATTGGTGATCATCTTCTCTCGTAGCTGGACGTAGGTTACCACCCTATCTGAAAAAAGCATACCTCGATTAGGAGCACTTCTACGCTAGCACGTGAGAAGGTAAACAACTTAGTTCCATAGTCACAAGCTCTCCAGAATGGTTATCAAATCGGATGGTGGAGGCCATCGCGGCTGTTTGCTGTAACCCCTTCATAGCCAACGTGGCGAGCACGAGGTTATGACCAATCGACGAAGCGGTGCTGACGTTGATTATACCTTCCTAAGCGCTATCACGGTGGTAGCTGCTGCGGCCAAACTGGCCGGCCGTTGCCACTTCCAGTGCAGAACAGCGCCGGCGGACTCGCAGTGATAGGTCCCCCTGCAAGGAATACATATATATCACAGCCCCTCGTTTGTTCTCCTCTTCGCCCTCTCTGCCTACGGTTTACCGGGCAGCTTCAGCCTCCTGATGAGTCGGGGAAACTCCGACGAAACAGTTTGTCACAGCCCCTCGTTTGTTGTCCTCTTCTCCCTCTGTGCCTTCGGTTTACCGGGCAGCTCTGTCTGATGATATGTATGTACATGTATATACATTTATAAAATTTTCTCGATCTATGCGTGTCATCCTTTCGCAGGGGCCACGCTAATCTTCTCTGTATCGTTCCAATTTTGGCGGATGTGCCGAAGGACCCCTGCAAGGAATATTGCGTTTGTACCCAACGAGTTCGGAAGTCCCTGGAGTCAGATCCCGGCGCCAGCAGTCCAAACGCAAGCGGGCTCCGAGGTATACAAGGGGGCCACGCTTTCGATGTTCCGGTCTGGAGGAGACCGGTTCGATTCGTCCGGCGTAAGAAGAATAGGCTGGGCAATTCAGGTTCCGGTGTACTGTTGTCAGAGCGTTGGCCAACGAGCTGCCTCGCCGCGACTTCGCTCAGCGCACCAGTGACCGAAGCGGGGCGCAGCGTACCAATGAGCGAATCCGGGCTCGGCGAAACAAAGAGTGGAGCGGCACTCAGCGCAGCAACGGGAGAGGGGCAGGGAAGGTGAGTTGTCTGCAGTCTTCTTCTCTCTTTCTTGCTGCATGCTTTTGTTTTTCGTTCATAAATAGAGATATTATTTCCTTTCTTTTCGTTGGATGTGAGATGTCTCCTCCGGGGCGTTGTTCCATTTGGGCGATCTAGAAGGTATATTGCGCTCATATATGTCGGCCTCCATAATCGGGTTGTTGCTGGAGTTTCCAAATCCTGTCTGGTCGCACTGGCTCCCTGCTGAGCCTCGATAGCAGACAGACGGAGAGAGAGAGAGAGAGAGAGAGAGAGAGAGAGAGAGAGAGAGAGAGAGAGAGAGAGAGAGAGAGAGAGAGAGAGAGGCATGCCAACTTCGAGATTAGCATCAGCAGGAGGACAAGGGAGAGGACGCAGAGCAGTTGTCGGAGGAGCCGAAGAAGCAGGAGTCCATCTGGTCGTGTCTTGCCGTCACCGGCGTGATTATGCGTTCCTCCACGTCGAGGTCGCGTGCGCTTGTCGCGAGTTGCCGTTGATGGCGATGGCGCGGGCAGGTTTCCCATCGTTTACAGCGTACGCGTTTACAGACTGCCACGGCTAGGACCTCGTGGAGGAAGAGAGCGAGGAGGGAGAGGAGGTGGGGGGAGAGGGGAGGGGAGGG